CTGCCCGCTCGGGTCTGCAAAGCCGCCGCCGGCGTCTCCTCTCTCTCTTTCAGCGGTGTGGGCCTGGCTTTCCTGTTCTCCTGGCTCCTCATTCTCCTGGTTTTTGCCACCTTCCTGGTTGGGGGCAACATCCAGACGCTGGTTTGCAGGAACTGGGTCAACCAGGAGATTTATAAGGTGGGTGGCCACGCACCCACCCATCACCCCATACATCTCTGCTTGCGTGCACCAAAATGCATCCAAACACTCTGTGTCCTCCCCCTAAACCTGTCTGGAAAAGCCCCATCCTAAACCAGAAGATTAAGTTTAGGATTAGGTCATTGAATTTGCATCAGCAGCAGGGAATTGCCCTTGTGCTGTTAATTCACTTGGGGCTATGATGCTCCTACCAGTAGGACCCTTGTCCTCCAGTTCTTGGGGATCCCTCCGGTGCTCGGGGCCAGTGGCACGCTGCAATGGGGCTGAGAGGGGTTGGGAACGGGATCAGGACTCGTCCTGTGGCTGTGCACACACAGGCAGGTCCCTGAACGGGACTGTCTGCTGCTTTCCCTCCAAACGCTGCCTGGAGATGCTCTGCAGTGGAGATCGTACAAATAAAGGCAAGACTAGCTCTGGCTGGGATGGGGTACCCCAGGACACACCTGTGAGGGCAGAGCACTCCCAAAATCATTGCTGGGAATGCCTGCACCTGACCCTCTTTTTCCTCCTGTTTGGCTCAGTTCATCGACACGCCCGGGAACCTGCCTCCATCCATGAACCTCACCCGCCAGCTCAACCTCAGGAGGGACTCCAACCTCAGCACCACGTACCGGTGGGTGCTGCAGGAGCCCACCTCTGGCCTTGTACATCGGAGGGCTAATTTGGGGTCACACTGCTGATGTCCCTTTGCCTTCCAGGGAGTGCAAGAGCGGCGCGGGGCTGTGGGAGGTGCTGCAGCTTGACAGGTCCTATGACCTGGATGAGCATCTGAAAACCCCCAAGGTGAGAGCTGGCTCCAGCCAGAGCTTCTGGTAATGGCACAGGGATGTACAAGCTTTACTGGGGTTACTGGGATGGAGGTACCTGGCCCCATCCCTGCAGCATCCCCCCGCCTCGACCCTGCAGTACACAGCTGATTTCCAAAAACGCCTGGGCGACTTCACGGCACGCTTGGGTGATGTGCGGCTCCTCCGCAGCGAGGGCAGGCAGGACCTGGAGACCTTCATCCGCAGTGGTGTGGATGAGG